CTAGTAGCTTCTTGCTCCTAGTAGTAAGGCCAGGAGCCCCTAATAGCATCCTTGCTCCTAGTAGCGATGCACCTTGTTCCTAGTAGCTTCTTGATACTAGTAGCGATGCCAGGAGCCCCTAGGAGCGTCCTTTGGGGCCAATGCGGCAGGAATGTTCTTTGAAATGCGATCGCGCGTCAATATGCCTTTGATCGACAAAGCAATCAGGCAGGGGCAGTTCAGGGAGTTTGGGCTGGTTGCTTGCTTGCTGATGTTGTTCTGGATATGCTCCGTTCACCTGCGCACTTCTTGGCCCACAAGACAAAGGTAGATAATCTTCACTTAGCGGACATGGCGAGAAACAATTCGGCATTCATGCTTGACAACATGAGAAAAGGCAAGTTAAACCCAACACTTATATCTGTTGATTGAAAGTTGGCATGAACATTCCTCCACTCTCAGGATCAAGCTGAGGTGTCTTACATCGGAGTGATGATGAGATGCTAGAGATGTTTTGTTGAGAATGATTTGCGCCGCAATGGCAGCAGGGAGAACTGTGCCGCAATGAGTTGTGATGCAGGCATAGGCCCGTCCGCTGACATGCGAAAGATCAAGTTCTGTGAATGTTGCAGGTGAAGCAACACCGGGAAGCGTTGTTGAGGCACCTGGATAACAGCAGCATTCTCCAAATTGTTCATTTGACCCTTCAGCATTCTTTCTCCATCATCCCATACTCAAGCTCTGTTAACACCTTTGGAAGAGGATTCACGAGTATTCAACATTATTCAACCACTCGACAAGCGCTTGAAGGCTTCTGGAACCTGGGACTACAGATGAGTCGCTTAGAGTCTCGCACCCAGCCCACGCTTGATAAGCAAAGATTCCATTCGATCGACATTTGTGGAGGCTGACATGATTATGCATCACGCAGCTCATGGGCCAAGGATACAAGAGCCTTCCACTTGAACGAATGCAAATGGTGTGTTTGATGGTCTCAAAAGATACGTTGGAATTCCATTGTTAAGCGTGCATATTGATAGGACGTTTGCTGGGGTGTTTGGGCAAAAGTCCAAGGACAGCGACATGGATGGACTTGACGAAGATGCTGCCCAGCGCCTGCGTGCCTTGCAGATCTTGCAGAGTTGCTGGGTTGCAAAGAACTTTATGTTGCTATCAATGAAGCAATGTGGTAATAGTGTGATTGGGCCGTTTGCTTATTGGCAGTCCTATGTCAATCCTGACATTAAACAAATGGGGACCATGGGGAGCAGGCACCTTGGGGCAGACTGTTGGTCACCGGCTTAGCTCCTTTTACGTATTGATGTGCATTCTGTGCAAAAAGACATGTTGAACAAAGGCATAGAAAACACTAAGGAAGAAACAAAATTGTTTAAAGATCCAAAAGAAGCAAAACCACAAGAAACTTAAACAAATGATTTTGACATTCAAGTATACAAAAACTTATACAAAAATATATAAAGGAAAACATGTTTGCTCTGTCTCGCTTGCCAAGGCTCTTCAAGCCCCCCGACTTCACCAGAGATGTCCCCCGACATTTCAAGTCCAAGGCTGCCACAGAAATTAGAGACTCGTGGCGCACAGACAGCGTCCTTGTTACTAGCGATGCCAGGAGCTGTACGACTAGTAGGTTCTCACAGACCGGTTAGATATGAACTTCACCAAAGCATTTCGAATGTATCCCCCCAAGCTCCATTCCTGACAAGCTGAGTGCGTAGGTCAGATCACGCAATAGCTCTGCATGAATTGCGAATACACCTACCAAGGTGTGGGGTTTATGCTTTGAAGAGCATGTTTAATGCGTTTTGCCCATGACACCCATCAGTCCGTTGTTTGTGCGATTTGCTTTCGGTCTAACCGAAGGAGTTTTGTTCGTTTTGGATTTTAGTTTTGGTGAGTCGACTTTCGACCGTTTGCCGATCTAGGCTGCCACCCATCCGGCTCTTGGAGGCCGCTGACAGCAATGAAGTTCAAATCCCAGGAGGATGCTTTTACAGAATGCTCCTAGTAGCGTCCTTGTTCCTAGTAGTAAGGCCAGGATCCCCTGTAGCGTCCTTGCTCCTAGTAGCGATGCCTTTTGTTCCTAGTAGCGTTCTTGCTCCCCCCTCCCTACTTATATAACAAGTAGAGAATACCTACTTAATTAAATAAGGAACTGTGAGGTAGCTAGTACCTACAAGTAAGCTACTAGGAAATGGACGCAGGATAGCTCACGCTTCTTCAAGGAGCTTCCTTGAAGAAGCGCTTGCACTAATGACTTCATTCCATTTCATTCCTAGTTTTTGTTAGGAAACAGTCAACAGTTTTCCAAGTTGACCACAAAAACTTATGAAAGAAACTGTGCCAAAGTGAGAAACGGGAATTCTGAGGCTACTCGAAGCTTCCAGAAGCAGGGCGAGAATGACCCTTTTGGCTCGAAGGACTCGCAGACCTCAAGACATTTGGAGCTTTAAACCACCAAAGCGGCGCTAAATGTTTGTGAAGTCCCTTCAACAAGAAAGAGCAAGGACGCTACTAGGGGCTCCTGGCCTTACTACTAGTACCAAGGACGCTACTAGGGGCTCCTGGCCTCACTACTAGGAGCAAGGACGCTACTAGGGGCTCCTGACCTCACTACTAGGAGCAAGGACGCTACTAGGGGCTCCTGGCCTCACTACTAGGAGCAAGGCCGCTACTAGCGGGCTCCTGGCCTCACTACTAGGAGCAAGGATGCTACTAGGGGCTCCTGGCCTCACTACTAGGAGCAAGGACGCTACTAGGGGCTCCTGGCCTCACTACTAGGAGCAAGGATGCTACTAAGGGCTCCTGACCTCACTACTAGGAGCAAGGATGCTACTAGGGCTCCTGACCTCACTACTAGGAGCAAGGGCGCTACTAGGGGCAAGGACGCTACTAGGGGCTCCTGGCCTCACTACTAGGTGCAAGGACGCTACTATAGGGCTCCTGGCCTTACTACCAGGAGCAAGGACGCTACTAGGGGCTCCTGGCCTCACTACTAGGAGCAAGAACGCCACTAGGGCTCCTTTAAAGAAGTTCAGTGGATTTTGCAGGCCTGGCCATCTGCATATTTGGTGGCAGAGAGGCAGAAAGGGTAGCTTCGGACTGATATCCGACACCATCATCAACTTCAAGCAAGTAGTCATCCAGGCCCTAGGCCTGTTTGGCAACAGAATTTTCCGTTCCAGCTGTCACGCTTTGCTTTCCGACATCTAGCTGTCCAAAATCTAGGGACTTCATGTCCTTGCTACCTCATAGTATCCTGTCGCTAACTCAACCTACCTAAAGTGCAGTACCCTATAGTTAAGTTTACAAAAGAACCTAGGAACCAAATCATTAAGGGTCAGGCTTCGAGGGTGAAGAGGGGGGAGCTTCTATGGAGAAGCCTGAGCCCTAGCCTGCGGACAAGCCTAGGAAGCTACCAAGATCTCCTACTTACTCCTTACTACTTGTAGCTACTTGTTAGCCCACCCCCTAAGGCCTACACCCTGCCCCCACTTGCCCCCTTAATCTTCCGTGCAATGATATGCTTAAGTCTTCACAGAAAAGACCCTCGAGGCTACTTCCTGAAGTCTGCGGACGTTCGGCCCTCACCCTGGAATATCTTTGCAGAACCGTTGCAGAACCGTTGAGACGTTTGTTTTCTGCATTTTCTGGAAACACGTGCTTTCTTTCTCTTCATGCCAAGTTTTTTTTGCAATCTTGGAAACCACTATCCGACTAGACTATACACCTTGCTGTGACAAGAATTCTTAGAAGGCTGTAGGTTTGGATGCCTTAATGCTACGGGCTATGGGCCACGGGGTAGTCAGTTAATGTAGGTCTTGGAGCTTGGCTGTGGCACTGGCCTTGTGTCTATAGCAGCTCAAGTTGGTTGGCTGCCCAGCACAAAAACGTGTAATTAATTTTCGGACATGTCCGGGCTGTTTATGTTTCTATTCACAAGCCAGAGTCTCTGTCACTGTCGCTCAGTCACTGTTGATTTAATGTGCTTCTTTAGACAATTAGTAATTCCCCACATCACTACATGTGGGGTTCTTGTTTTTCGCTCTGCACCCGCCGCTCCGAAACCTCCCGCCGCCCGCCTCCGCCCGCCGCCGTATTACACCACTCATCTTACACCAGTCATCTCACACCACCTATCTTACACCACCCATCTCACACCACCCATCTTACACCACTCATCTCACACCACGCATGTTACACCACCCATCTAACACCACTCATATTCCACGACCCATCTTACACCACTCATCTCACACCAATCATCTCACACCACTCAGCTTACACCACTCATCGTACAGGCGCAGTACACAGAGCATGCAGGAGGACTGGGTGGACGCGTGGTCGCCGCTGGCACAGCACTTGGTGAACCAGGAGTGCAGATTTCGCCGCAGGCGCAGGACACAGAGACTGCAGGAGGACTGGGTGGACGCGTGGTCGCCGCTGGCCCGCGGCTGCCTGTCGTGTAGGGACAGCACTTGGGGAACCTGGAGTGCAGATTTCGGCAGGCACAGTACACAGAGCCTGCAGGAGGACTGGGTGGACGCGTGGTCGCTGCTGGCCCGCAGCTGCCTCTCGTGTAGATTTCGTGGCAGGCACAGCACTTGGTGAGCCTGAGGTGCAGATTTCGTGGCAGGTGCAGTACACAGAGCCCTCAGGAGGACGGGGTGGACATGTGCTTGGATGCCCGGGCTGTTTGCTAAGTAGTTGCTGTTGTTAGCCTACTTGTATGTAGTTTAGCAAGTTCTTTAAGTATAGTTATAAGTTGGCTAAGTGTTGTTTTTT